GGCCATATAGCCACCCCAAGTGATCTCACACATGTGGGATCATCTAAGCCATGCTAGAGTGCTCAAACTAGAAAAACTAGTGAGCATGCATATATATCTACATTGCTATTCCTCTCTCTTTTTTTGGCTCTCAAAAAGAATGTTTACACAAATCTACCCCTCTGACACACAACTCCATTGTGTAAAAACTTCTACAAGTTTTGGCAATTACCAAGTTTTTTTTCCTTATCTTACTATGATACATGTAAACACCCCAACATCATTTCCAAGTCCACCTAAATACCAGGACCCAGTTGTCCAAAGGGCAGATAAGGCTTTCCAACAGATATATTCTTATCAATAGGATAATTGTTTCTCAAATGTAATGCCCAATTGTGAATAGAGATTTATCTAGTAGATAGTGTTATCCAACCCAGTGCTCCATGTCACAACTATTTCAGTTGCCATGGCAAACTAAAAAAGAATCAGTGGCACATGTACGGCAATTATGTAGCAAGTTGAAGCATTATTATGACCTGGCCTGGGTTGTCCAAAGCTAGGTTGAGATAACCCAGGGTGTGTGTGGAATTTGATTTCAGATCTGAAAGCTTTAAAAAGAAGTTTAGATCAAATCTTTTTGCTTGCAATTTGATCATTGGATGCTCTAAAAAGAATAGGGAAAATTTTCCCTAAAAGGCTATCGAACAAAGAAATAAAGAAACCTGGATTTAAATTTAACCCTGGGTTTATGCTAATCACCCTTTGAACAACTGGGCCCTGGTTTTAATTTTTAGAAGAAAATGTTTGCCTTCCTAATCTTCATGACAATTAACCCTTTAACTCCCAGAAGTGATTAACAAGTAACTTCTCCTTACAATATCCATGCACTGTCTACCAAAAAGGTAATGAGAATACTCAAATGGATCAGGTGGAAGTTGTTATATTGATCTAACATCAAATTCTTGTAACTTATTTACAAGGAAATGTGTAAGAGGTAGAGGGGAGAATTAACAGTCAGATCCTGGGAGTTTCTAACCTCATTATAGGTAAGCCAAGCATAGGGTCCTCCAGGACTGCTGCGGTAGCCCAGGCATGGCTTGTCACCTAAATACAACATAAAAAACTGGTTAACAACCTCCTACACAGAGAAAGCTTTGAAGGCAGACTTAAAAATAAAATTACTGACCAGATAATCTCTTTCCACGAAGGAAAGCTTCATGGCTTGTGCTCACATCTTCAAATAATTTCTCCACAAGTTCGGTTGTAAGTGAATTCATTCTGGCATAATCTCCATCCTGCATGAGCAAATAATAAAATTTAAAACATTACATTTGATGATCTGTAAAAATAAGTATTATTATAATTATCATTATTACTGGCAAGGATTTACCATCATAAATAATGGTAATAGGACCGAGTGGAGTCCAATTTAGTCCATAATCATACAAGCGATCAACAAAATCCAAAGACTGTGAAGCAGGAGTGCAATTTGTTCATCATAAATACAATTACAGACAGAATTAGAGAACACAAAGTCCTTTCACTGATTAATCAAAACCATGTCAAAATTTGAGAGAGAAACTAAACATCCATTGTAAGTTTTCATAAAACAAACAACAATAATGTCAGCAAAATGCACAACAACAGTACATGCTCATGACGCATACTGTCCACTTACACAGGCATGACATGTCAACTATCCTATTTCACTGTCTAATTACAAGCATGATGTATTCACTGTATGTTGACCCTTTAACCCCCACAAGTGATTAACATACAATTTCTCCCTTCAATTTTTTTGTTTTACATTATACAGCACACAGGTGAAGAATACTCAAACTTAGTAGAAGTTTTCATCTTGATAAAAAACCAAATTCTTGTATCAAATTTACAAAGAAATGTGAAGCAGCTAGAAGAGAGAATTAACAATCTGATCATGTAGGTTAAAGGGTCAAAGCCACTTTTCTCAATAGAGGGAAAAAGGAGAAAGAGAAAGAAAATGTTTTACTGCTTCACAAGATTGTTTTTTGTATTTGGAAATAAAATTTTTGAAATTGGAAAAACTTGAAAGGTTCCCTTCATAACAGATTTTTGCCATTACAAACACCCAATGCCTAATGTAGGTTTGACATAAATTTATTACAAACATCCTCTGTCCATCAATGGAAATAAACTGTTGACACTACAACATTCATGTGCATATTCTCTGTACTGTTCTACATACATTTCCCAGAGTGCTGACAAGGAGAATTTGTTGAACATTCAAGAGTTTCTTTAGATGGATATCCATTTCTTTGATTCTCACAGAGGAGAAGAAATTAGATGCTAGTTATTCTTAGAGGTTAAAGGGTTGAGTAATAGGATAGGACCCATCTGTCAAATAAGATAATCCACAAAACTGTCATACAAATTTCGACTGTGTTTATGCATCAGAACAAACTTTAATTAAAAAACTGTGGTCATATTACCTAGTTTAAGCTTTCCTTTACCATTTAAACCCTAAGACTGATCAGCATCTTATTTCCCCTTACAGTGATACTGCTGGAATCATGCATTAGGATCGTGAGAGTAGAAATGTCAATCTAAGAAACTTTGATTGTTTAACAAATTCACCTTGTCAGTACTAGAAGAAAAGTGCAGAGAAGAGTGTGGATAATTTTTCTTTCTGGGTGTTAGGAAAGGTTTAAACTTTCCAAAAAAAAAACAAAAAAAAAAAGCGGTCACAGGAGGTCACGTGATGCCTGCGGTTGGCAACATTTCAAAGTTTTGGTTAATTTCCATTAATGGGAGAGATCGTGTTTTGGCAAGAGTATGATTTGGCTTCTGTGCATATCACAGTATCTATTGAAACTAAACACCTCTTATAAATGATGAGTTGCTACAGAATGCCTGTAATCCTTTTTCGGGATACAAACGTAAAGTGATCTGATCGATCGAACCAACGTGGAAGGATGTTCCGGTTGAATTCCACGAAATGAGGGGTTTTGGAAAGTGGATGAAGTATGTCAAATCAAAATCGCAATTTTGTTCAACATAAGAAAGTAAATTTATACAAACAGATCTATGAAAAAAAACATCGGATGATCATAGTTCAAGCACTTTTTTGCGGTGAAATTAGGGGAGGTGGCGCTGGCACCTTGTCACCAGTAAGAATCAAGCCAAATTCCATGCATTATGCGAGACGATCAAACCAACGATGAGAATAGCTGATCGTTTCATTGAGGCCATTAGCTTACCGGTAACTCGTAAGATTGTTTCGTGGGATCCACAGGACAAGGCTGAGGGGTTGGACGAGAAGTTAAATAATACATCGATGCGACTGCCATAGCTCCAAGTCCTGCAGCAATTGCAGGGTCTCTAAGATACTTCAGAGCTGCTTCGGCTGCGTTATCTGCCATCTTTTTCTCGAATATTTCTCTGATTGTCTGAAAATAACGTAAAAAAGTGAACGTAAATATGCATGACGGAGTAAATATAAGGTTACGAACGTACCTCAGTAGTATAGGTTTGTGAATAAATTATGGTACCTTACAATAGATTGAGGAAAAATTTTTACTTTCTGAAAGGATGTGGTCTGCTGAAACCAAAGAAAGATACTTACGCTAATGTAGTGTAGATTCTGTCTAACCGATAATTTCAGCGAAGAAGCTTATATAGTAGCGGAACACACTTGATTAATCACGAGTTTTTGCCAGTAAACGTAACTGTCACGCTCTTCGACCTTTGGTCAATGATACGGAGCATAGGATATGATATGATTCTAGACATGACAGACTATCCAATGGAATGTCGACCGCTGAACACCAAGGTTCAAAAAGTTACAAACACTTTTCGATAGATAGCTAGCAAGATATCTAGCAATGACCTTTGCCAGTTCAAAGATAAATGGACGAAATGGAAAAAGACCCATCAATTACCCTTCGACCACGCTTTTTCCGACAAATCCACCGGCGCATTTTGGTATTTTTTTTGCGCGCAGATCCTTCATTCCGAAAAACAGTGGTTCTTGAATTACTAAGTTCAAGCAGAAATCCTCACATAAGTTATTTAAGCTTTGATTGATAAGGAGATCGGAGTTTGAACAGGATTATTCGTGTATAAAAAAAAAATGAAAGAATTTAAATTAGTAGGAAGGTCACCCATGGCCAAGTGGAGAATTGAACGTTGCCCTTTCTTAGTCCCAGTCTCTCGTCGAGTAATCCGTCTTTGATCCATGATCGTGCAAGTAAACCTCGACTAGTTGCATACCTTCCCAAGTTATGGCTTCCCTCTTTCAATGTACCGCTTCAAAGCTGCCATGTGCTCAGATTCTGAGACATCCTTCACTTAGGAAGAACTTACCAGTGATTTCGACTTTTTTCAGTACAACATCTAGTCAGAACGCGATAAAAACTGTAACAGTCATTGGTAGTGGACTTATGGGTTCTGGAATTGCTCAGGTACACTCGTAAATGAACAGAAGAAATTCATACATCATCAAATAAATTGATGCATTTTTTTTGTGGAAATCTATGAATCAATTTTCAGGGTTTTTTTGTGTCACATCGTGCTCCATTGAATCAATGAGCCTTTTCAGGTTTGCGTGAGTTGGCAATTATGAATGGACATGTGATGACCTTGAACAACCTCTAGGTTATGAATGAACCTATTCTTAACTCATTCATCACCGGAAGATTGTCAAATTTTACACCTTTTCTTATTGCAAGCTGTGATTGGTGTTCCGTTCTCGCCGATTCGATTCTCAACAATTTTGAAATTGTTGAATTGAACATGAACATGATCAATATATCTTGACGTCCTGATTTCCTATTGTTATAATGCACGTAGTTTTTTAAAATACTTCTTTGACTTTAAAAAAGTGCGACCCTCATTTCTTAAAGTGATATTGGAATTTTAGTTTTCTTTTGTGCAGCTTATAGACACAAGTTTTACTCTACCATATCAGCACATTATCAGAAAGACAGGCGATGAGAGATTTTACCCTTCGACCTGTAAGAGTTACTAGCATCTAAATTTCTCCAAAAAATATCACTCAGAACACTGCATTAAGGTCACAAGGATAGAGGAAACGATTACCATCTGAAGAGCTCATGATCATTACACAAATTATCCTTGTTGGCACCATAGCAAATGTATGGAGAACAGTATGGAGAATTTTTATGCTGATGTTTGGGTGTAATAGGAGTAGTAGAAGAGTTTTTTTGTTTATAGGTCAATTTGAAACTTTTGAATCTTGGATTAATTTTTAGGTAGCAGCAGCCACAAATCACAAGGTGACAATGGTGGATCAAACAGACGCAATTTTGACAAAATCTTTGAATGCCATCGAGAAAAGCTTAGAGAAAGTTTCAAAGAAGAAATTTAAGGATGATCCTGAGGTAGTATTTTAAAATTATCTAATATTTTTTAGCGATATTTTGAGATCCCAGGCAATAACCTCTTAACCTCTTAAGGCTTGTCTGGAAATGTGTTTGAAATTTAAGTACCACTGCCATTGTTTGAAATTTGCATAACAACCAGGATATTATTTACCAGATTTAACAAAGACTCGATCCTTTTTTTCTTTTCCAGGTGACCTGTTTAATTTTTAGGAAATACAAGAAAGGGTATTCTTGATTCAAAATTATTAGTTTTGGCAATAACAACAGTTCAAACTGTTGGCAAGTTTTGCCTTTTGATTTTGTGTAAGCAGACAGGTCATGACAAGCTTTGCATTGGGAAAAAAATTTATGCAAGTTAACTGGCTGCACATTCAATGTGCAGCCAGCTAATTTGCCCAAGTAATTCAAGGCAAGGTTTGACACCTTGGTGGCATGAGGTGTTTGCTGAACATTCCAGGACATCTGATAATCGCTACAAAAAAGTTAATAAAGCTCCTCTTGAATGAAATGGAAAAAACTGCAACTTCCGATAATTACATTTCTAATCATTTTCCAGATACAACTCTACTTTGTTCACTCGTTTTCCAGAAACAAGAGTCCAGAGAAATGCCTCATACAAACTTAACGGGTCTAATTCGAAAAAACCCAAGGGCAGTACACTAAGCTTATTTTCTTAGTAGAAACAATGCTTGTCTTAAAGAAGAGAACAGTAAATTGTTAACACAAGGTCCACAACTAGTTCTGACCAAATAAACATAGGTGGAACAATTTAAAACAGGTAAAAAGAAGAAACTCAAAAATGGCCTAAAAGCAGTATCAGTTAAGCTGATTTCACCTCCATGATCAAAGACCCAGACCTGTACAAGGCTAGCACCGACAAACCCTTCTTTATACAGGTCATGGAACTTGAACTTTTAAAGTCCAGAAACTGTGTCGATTAGATAATCCAGAGAATACACATTGCTTTCAACTGATGGTCTCCCTGTTCAGTCTACAAGCTTTGGACATACACTACCCAGGAGGGTATGCAAGAAACTAAAAATAACCCTCAGGTATACACTACCCAAGAGGGTAAAGAAGAGATTAAAAATAACCCTCAGGTATACACCACCCAGGAGGGTATGCAAGAGTTTTAAAAAACCCTCAGGTATATATTAACCAAGAGAGTAAAGAAGAGATTAAAAATGACCCTCAGGTATACACTACCCAGGAGGATATTGGAGAGATTAAAAATAACCCCAAGGTGAACCTAAAACTTGTAATCAACAGGTTTAAGTAACTGCATAGACACCTACCGACCGCAAATGTTAATGCAGAATGCATGCTGCAATTTTTTTTGGGGGCCAAAGCTCCTTGCTTAATCCTTTAACTTGTAAGATCTGATCGTTAATTCTCCCACTGGCTGCTCCACATTTCCTCGTAACTTAGTTAAGAGAATTTAATTTTAGATCAAGATGACAACTTCTACCTAGGAAGTTTAAGTATTCTCATTACCTTTTTGCTGGATAGTGTATGGATATTATTGGGAGAAGTTGCATTTTGATCACTGCTGGGAGTTAAAAGGCTAATGGTTTTCAAAGTGGGCATGAGAGAAAGACATCAATTACTAAATTTTGTTTTGTTGTGAAGATCTCATAACATCCACTCAGTAATTGAGTTGAATTTGCTTGCAGGCTGGAAAGCAATTTGTGACTGATACTCTCTCAAGGATCACGATAAGCACAGATCCTGCAGCTAACATTGCTGAAACAGATCTCTTGATAGAAGCCATTGTTGAGAATATGCGTGTAAAGCACAATCTCTTTGCAGAACTTGATAAAGCTGCACCCAGGTATACTAACATTGTAACTGTATGAACTTAATTTTTATTACTTTCTATATTAAATACTGAGCTACAAATAGCCTTAGGAGTTCTGATAGTGATAACCAAGACCTTTTTGCCCTTTGAACCCAAAGAATGACTAGCATCTAGTTTCCTTCCCATATTATCACCTCTAAATCACATGTGAAGGTCATGATCAAGTAAAGGAAATGATAACCGACTGAAGACTTTCTTGGCTTTTGAAACAAATTCTCCTCGTCAGCACTTAAGAGAACATGTGGAGAGAAGTATGGAGATTATGCATACTAATAAAAAGGCGTAAAGGGCAAAACATATCCCTCATGAAACTGTGGGCTCAAAGTATTATGCTGAATTATGTGGCTGTCAAAATAATGTCAAGAGTAATTAATTTTTTTTACCACAATTGGCAGTAATGTGGCAATCTGATTGGCCAATTTGCTGTTTCGGATAAGAGTACAAACAATGCTGCTTACATCAATGTGTCATGCAATGGTCATGCATTGAAAGAATCTTTTTTTAACATTGATATTGTGACTGTGCTTGGTGAGTCCACAACAGTTTTACCGCAGGGATGACAAATATTGTTGTCAATAAGAGTACAGACCATGCTAACCCACAAATGATTTGTACAATGACTGATTATTTGATTTAACTAATTTAACTCAAAATCTCAAAAATCCAGTGATGAGCTTTTAATCTAAGAACCTGTCCTTACTTATGGATTTGTGGAAGGAATGGAAGGAAATAAAGAGGGAGGGATTGGAAAGAGAAACACTTGAAAACAATCACCACAAAAGTGCTGGGGACTGTTAAAGAGCAACTGCCACAACATTGCTCCAGAATTATGATTCTGCTAAATGGACGGTAGCTTGCAAGCAGGGCCTAATAATTTAAGTGCTGAAAGAGATGCATTTATTGCCCCCCACCTCCAGAAAGATTTGGAAAGATTTGGGACTAGCTGAGGAGAAGTTTGCAGGGGGGGTCTGACACTATCTCATTATCAGTGTTAGACCCCTTGTAGACCTTGCAGACCTCTTATCAATTAGTCTCAAATCTTTGGGGGTTGGGGGGTGTGGGGTGGGAAATAGACAAGCTTCCTTGATGGTTTCACAAAGCTTGATGCCGTTAACTTGGCCAAATTGTCATTAAACTAGATTTCATGTTTTCTAAGTGTCCTCTTCCTTTTCATTTCAGTCACACCATTTTTGCATCCAATACGTCTTCCCTACCAATAGCAGAAATAGCCAGCATTACCAAGAGACAGGACAGATTTGGTGGACTTCATTTTTTTAACCCTGTTCCTTTGATGAAGCTGGTTGAGGTGAGCTTTTAGCTTTCTGTATCACTGCTTTTGATTAACATGTTAATGGTGACTGCATCTTCCTTAACTGATGATAAGAAGTAATTGAAACATTCAAATTTCATTTATGGAGTTTTTCATTGTAAAACTGTCCAACGTAGCGAAAAGTCATTTTAATACTGGAGCTCTGATGTGTTTGCTATGATCAAGTGAAGAAAGTTTCTTTGGACCCTGGAATTCTTCAGAATAGTTTTGGGTGGTGATGTAACCCTTTAATCCCTAAGAGTGACTAGCATCTAATTTCTCCTCACAGTATCATCCCTGAATCAAGCATAAAGGTCATGAGAATAAAGAAAATGATCACCTTGACTAAAGAAGCTATTGATTGTTAAACAAATTCTCATTGTCATCACCTTAGGAAATGTACAGTAAACAGTATGGAGAGTATGTCTATTGATGTTTGGGTGTAAAGGGTTTTAACCCTTCTAGGTCATATTTTGAAATATGCATGCAATTTATTTGATCCAGAATGTTGTCAAATTTTAAACTGGATTCTTTTAGGTTATCCGTATTCCAGAAACATCAGAGGAAACATTTGATGCTTTATATCAGTTTAGCAAAGAACTTGGAAAGGTGCCTGTGTCTTGTAAGGTAAGCGAGAAATTGTTCTAACTGAGCAAAGTTTTTTGACTTCACAGTTATCTGCTGTGAAAGGCAGTCTTCCAAAAATTAGCCATACTATTATAGTGTGGTGTAAAATGTACAGGCTAAATGATATAAATTTTGTTTCGCAGGACACACCTGGTTTTATTGTCAACCGTTTACTTGTTCCATACATAATGGAGTCCATTAGAATGCTGGAAAGAGGTAAGAAGTGGAGAATGATTAGTAAAAAAAATATTAATCAGACAAAAATATTTATATATTGCCAAATCCACTAATTGTCCACGGCGCTTTACATCAACCCTTTAACTCCCAGAAGTGATTAACATTTAACTTCTCCCTGTAATTTCCATACATTATTGAGCAAACAGGTAATGAGAATACTCAAACTTAGGCAGGTAAAAGTTGTTATCTTGATCTATCACCAAATTCTCTTAACAAATTTACAAGGGAATGAGTTGAAAGGGAGAATTTGTAATCAGATCTTGGGAGTTAAAGGGTTAAAAATTTTTTAAAAAGCTAAAAGAAAGGGGGAAGAGGGAAAAAAAAGATAACAATTTTCTTCCCCTTCAGTAAATGATAACAAGACTTAATTTGTTGCAAGTTTACAAATAAAGAGATATTCTTACAAGTTATAAACTGCTTGAGCCATAATTAAAATTACATTATTTTGTATTTAATCCCCAAAAGAGGCAGTAAAACTCCTTAGCCCCTTAAAGTGACCAACATCTTATTTCTCCTTACAATATCATCTCCTATTGGCACATTAAGCTCCCAAGAGAAAAGGAAATTATCACTAACTAAAGAAGCTTCTGATTGTTAAACAAATTCTCCTTTTCCACACTTAAGCAAATGTTTGGAGAACAGCTTTGGAGAATATGCATTCTGACGTTGGGTTTAGAGGATTAAAAATGCATTTCTTTACAGGAGTCATACACCAATCCACTCCAATGTACACCTGCTTAACCCTTTCACTCGCAAGATCTCACTAGTAATTCTCCTTACTTTTTGCCATCCAATTCTTTTAATGAGAGTGTGAAGAATTTGGTGTTGGGTCAACTAATAATCTCCCAATTAGTGTTTTTCTAATTTGCATTACATGTCTTCCTCACATTGTTTGATATTGAAAAATTTGTCTTGGTCAATTATGGGAGTCAAAGCAAGGCGGTTAGTGCGCAGAGATCAAGATTGGTTTGGTAGTGTTTCAAAATCAGACTTGAAGACTTTGAAATTGCAGACATTTTCAGTTTTCTGTGTAGATGAGGAAGAAGGGGAGAAATATAAGAGATGAAAACGGGAAATTATCAAACCCCCCATTCCCTTGCCGCCTCCTTTTCCCT